GTCAAGCAAATATGGCCGGCCCAATGTATTAAAAAAAAAAAAAAACGGTTCTAACCAACGACGCGACACGAACGACTAACGGACGGTGATGGATATTTGGACATTACCACTAAGCACTTATTTATTCAAATGCTTCCTACGTCCACTGTCTGATTAGGTTATTTGTACATCCAACATACCCTCAGGATCAACAACTTCGAACCCTCCGTCCCATTAATATTTCGGTATGTGACTGTATCTTCTTGAAGTGACCGATATCCAGTTAGTTAGTTAGTTAGTTAGTTATAGTGTTCTTTTGCTAATTCACTCGACTGGGACCTCACATATACTGCGAAAATTGATTTACATTCTTGGATATACGCTTTTTGTGTGATGTATAAAGTCATAGTGGTACATTGTACACTAATATCAATTTTTAATGCCCCATATTATTATTTTTTATTTGCGTAATTTTCATTCCGTTTTTGGAATTGAATATCTCTGAGAGTGCTCTTAATTTGTTTACAAGTAACGGGCACCAGATGACATGACTGTTTTTCCCTGACGTCATGACACCGACAGTGTATGCTTGGATATAATTCAATATGGCCGATCAACAATGTGATCCTTGATGACTGTACTCGCCGAATAAATCAGTATTTAGTGTTAATTGTGAACTAATAAATGCATCCTGTGATGTTATCGGAACCTGAAAGTGTGTAGCGACCGTTACACCCTTTGTCATAAATCATGTCTCCTTAACACTTCCATAGGTTTGCGTCGCCGGGCATTATGCCTAATATGTACCATTTTTTTTTATCTGAAATAGTTTGCAAAGTTAATTAACCTTCCTATGGTTTTACAGCACGAATGTGCACAAATGCCCGCAGTCACTGGTGAGCATGTAGTTTCTATATGAAACTCAAACATGCACAGGTTCAGTGTGTACACAGTAGGTTGTCAGCACAAAATGACCCAGGGTCTTTTGTGCAGTCCTCTTCACTGCATTTGGTTTACTGCACAATTATGCACATGAAACAGTGAAGCACAGTTCTTGGGCAGCACAAACGTGCAATCTGATATTCCTGTGAGGGACAGTTAGTGCAGTGCACAACACAACACAGCTGTGCTTCTTTGAGGTGTTTACCAAATGACCCAAAGAGTGACTTCAGCATAGGAGGGTTAATATGGTAGGGTGTTGGTGTTGTGGCGCACGAAATCCAATAGACAATACTCAGGAAACGCATTGTGCCATGGGCCATACACACGATAATACTGAATTACTTTTACCAATACAAAAAAAAAAATATTGTTACCCACAATTTCACACAAAGGGAATATCCACCAAGCTTTAAACAAACTCAACTTTGAGTGCCAGCTGCAAACCCCAGAACCTATTTTTAGGGGCAGCAATCACCGATTCCATCTCTGACTGATTGTATTTTTGTTTAAATGGTGAATGGGCCGGCCATAGGTGCTTGGCAAACTTAGGGGGTGATTCGGTCTGGAGGCAAGTCGGTCAGGGGGCGAGTCGGTAAGGGGGCGAGTTGGCTAGGGGGCAAGTTGGTAAGGGGCGAGTCGGCCAGGGGGCGAGTTGACCTACAATCTTTTGCACAATGGTAGAAAGGCATTGTCGAAAGGAAAAAGGAGCAAACATTGCCACTTTTGGCACAATGCCTTTCTACCATTGTGCAAAATCACCCATGCAGTATTTGCGATAAGGCTTATAGGCTAGGACTAAAACTTAATTTAGGAAGGACGATGCAGAACGCAATTGAATTAGGCCAAAATGTGAGTTCTATACCGCGGGGGGCGAGTTGGCGACTTGGCATGAAATACATTGGGCAAACAAGCAAAGGCGGTATGGGCATGATGGGTAACGGGGGCGAGTTCACATGCAAAACGATTTGTATTTTCATTCACCTTACCACTATTTCTACGTGAATTAGCCCTTAAACATTATAATAAAGTAGACGAAATAAAACTAATCATACATAAGTCTCTACTGAAGACGCAAAAAGAAATGAAGTTAATCATGTTGGCAAAAATATTGAAAAGAATTGGCCACTACCGTACCTCACTGCACAACGAGCAATTCAACTCACGCCGCATGGAAAATGCGCAAGAATGACCTTACTAAGTAGATCCACCCTCATTGGTCAAATGATGTAACAAAAAAATAAATTTATTCCTTCCCAATGCTTTTTAAAAGATATATGAAACCACTTTTTTGATTTAAGGATTTAAATTGATAAAGTATTTATATTGATGTTTTTATCTTACTTTTACTGCGTGTCTTGATTTTTAATGGCAGATAATATTTCTAAAAATTATCCAATACAGAGATCTGTTCCAAAGCGTTAAAGGGATATAAAACCTGGTACCCGGACTATCAGGTGGAACGCCTGAATAGTTGATGTGGACACCAGTGTTATTTAATAGACGCGCCATTCGGATTCAATGGCGCCATGGCGCAACCACTAATCTCTGCTCAGGATCCAAATGGCTGTGGCTATAAGCCTGCAATAATGTGCGTTCCTATGGAAGCCGGCGGCCGCAGCCAATATTTTTAGACACGATAGGCTAACATCAAGTTTGTTTCGCGCCGCGAAGGTCAACAGTGCGAAGGCATGACGTGCTCGACGCATGTACATGTATATATAGTTAAGTTGGTAAGAGGCGAGTCGGTCAGGGGGCGAGTTTACGAAGGGGCGAGTTGGAAAGGGGCGAGTCGGTTAGGGGCGAGTCGGTCAGGGGGCGAGTTGACCCGACACCATAGCTAGCTAGCTAGCTAAGCACCTACGGTGTACATGTTGTGCGAGCGGGGGTGTACATGTACATGTACTGTACGTGTACATTTCAACTCCATCTGTAAAGTCGGGGGGCCCATATGCCTAGCATAAAAGATGGGGCAAATTAAGGCGTAAGACTTTAAGTGCACTGCTAGCCTAGCCTCAGCATGCCCAGACGAGTCTAGGGCCAGGCTACTGATAGTGATACATGTGGTTTAGATAGACTGCTCCTACTGTGGGGGCTTCTGGATTGTTGGTGTTGTTCCAGACATTGACAGATTAGTGAGTCCTAAACTAGATATGTGTAGCTAGCACGATCTACCAATAAAAGAAGGGCCTGTTCGTTTCATGTGGATCTGGATCGCAATCTGTTGGATCACTGATTCCAGAACCCACATTCCATGAACCTGATCAGGGTCCAGACCCGTGTGAAACAAGTGGGCCCAAATGATGTTGGTACATGCACACGGTGTGGCACAGTCATGACAATGGGCCATTATGAGCAGACCCAACTGTAGCGCTATGGTTTCAGGGGTGCTTGGCAGTCAACTGAACTGTCAATCCCACCACCAAATGCCTGTTCTCACTATAACACAGCCAATTGTGGTTTGTCAGGGATGACTAGAGCACAGCTTTTGACCACCTACATTTGTACCTCCATGGTTAGACCCATAATTGTGGCAGTGTGGCAATTACACCACCAGCATGTTACCGAGTGAAGCACATTGGAATGCAATAGCGGATATCCACCAATTTTTCCATCATGTACATCATGATCTTTTGTGCTTGAGTAATAACTTTCCTCCAGTAACTCTATCCCTTGAATCAGTGCCAACTTTGTACATGTACAATGTATGTATGCATGTATTTGTGCACCATCATTAGTTGTCATGCCTGAGCTCGCAGGTGATCAACCATCCATTAAGTCAAACCTTGTCGGTTATCTCACCAAAGTGATTTGTTGGAGCTTAAGTTCACAACGAAATACAACAACTTGTCATCCGGCCTATTTATCCCTAAGTCTTCTATAAATCTTACCCCCATCTCTTGTGCCATCTTGCACTGATGCATTTGTGTGTATTTGTCTGTCAATTGCCACCTTCCTGCCGGATTGCCCCATCAAGGATATGGGGTGCACAATTTAGTTGGCCATATCTTCAACATACACGTACATAGAGTGCTCTCTACCAAAATTGTGCATCATTTGCACGATCCTGCTGCTGTGTCCAAGCACTCAAACATTTCTTCTCATTCGTTCTGCCAGCTCAGACAACACTGTCTTGGTAACTTTGAAACCTTGATTTCCTACATGTATAATGACTTAATATATTTTAGTATACACGTGCTTGGAAACTCGGAAAGGGACTTGACAACAAAAATGAAGCATGTGAAACATTCCTAACAGAAGGGCCATTCATATTGCACTCTGTTTGAATAATTTCAAGTTCACATAATACTTTCATGTTTTTCACCCAGGAAAAATGTCACTCTTCAGTGGGATGAAACTGGCTAGCTCTAGCCCTGACAATCCATCCAAAGGTGGTTCTCGTATGGCAGAACCAAAGGTTACAAAACCACTTGCCAGAACTGAAACGGTACAGACAGCTGCCCAAGAAACCAGCAACCAGAGTCAGTTCTCCTTTATACTGAAAGTTGATGATGGAAAGCAGGAAAATAGGCCTACTTGTAGGTCAAAAGAAGGTGCAAATGAACATGGTGAAGTGGATGACCAGCGGTCGTGGAAGGACAGTTCCCCAGTGGCCTCACAGTCGCAACCCCCCAGCCAGGTCTTAGATGACCTGAACTTTGACCTTGACCCTATTAAAGTCAACAGGGATGCCAAAACGCAAAGCTGGAAGTGCCAACCTACTGGCTTCGATCTTCAAGATTTGGATTTCAGTCAGCTACGTGTATGCGATCGGGAAACCCCAGATCTTGGGGATGAACATTCCTCTCTGGACGTTGTGAGATCAGCCAGTAGTTTCAGTTTTATTACAAAGGAAACCTCGGTTACCAGCATGGAAAAGAGTGCCATTGAAGAAGACAGTCAAACTCAGGGATTGTCAGATGAAGTACATGTAGTGAGGAAAGGCAGAGCTGAGATTCATGTATGGGAGACCACAAGCAGAGGTGATGATGGAGATCTCAGCTTGTTGGACAGGCGGAAAGCCATGCAAGAAGAACACATGCAGCGACTGGGTCTCATTAAGTACGTGCACAAATGAATGGGAAAAAGATTAAAGCAAATATCTATTGATAAAATGCTGTGTTCTACTGGCCTGTGTAGTTGTGGCCATTTTTATCTGAAAGCAGATGCATGATCAGCTGATTGACAATTGAAGTCTTTTTTTTTTGGATCAATTTGCAATTTACTTAAAAGTTGTTCATTGTATTGTTTCTTCCTTCTTCAAATTCCCTCTTCATGAAATTTGCCTACTCAGAAAATTTTTTTTTCCTCAACCAGGATCTTTCACACATCATAAAGTGCTTGACTTGCCCAGAATTCCAAAGTCTATGTATACATGTACATGTCCAATTGCACTGTTGTCATTCTATAAATTTGGGCTCCTAGAAGTGTGACATTTTTGTGTCCCAGTCACACCTGTCCTGTGTCTCTGAGACCAAGTTCAAACTATTTCTTTTGTTTGGCAGGAAATTTGCATTAATTAATCAATTTTGAAAATTAGAGAATGTGTTCTTAACGTGCATGTAAAAATTATATGTCCGATGTGACAGCAACACGAAAAAATTGGACCCCTAATTTGTAGAATGACCCACAAGTTCAAAATGCATTTCGTGCTGTGCTTTATTCTCACAAGAAGTGTAGAGGTTACCTGTAGCTATTACATATGACTTAGTCCTTATCTGTCTGACTTGTCACGCCACTTTCAAGTGTTCAATATTAAATGATGAACAAGGTCCTTTTACAGCAGAAGAGTGACTTAATATGCCATGAATAAGAGAATTGCATTCTTGGATCTGACTCATCTAATCATTCACATGGTAGATACAGATCGCGAAGTGTATTTAGTCATCGGCAAAATTGCGTTTTTGTTTCCCTTAGGAAGGCTGCCTGTGACTTGACAAGCCAGGCAGTGCAACTTGCCAAAGAATGCGTGTTGTCTGGACAGCATCTGGCGGAGAAGCAACAACAGATGCAGGTGCTGCAGCAGCAGGAACAGGAGGCTGTGGGCGAAGAAGACTACGAAAGAGGTAGCAACCACCGAGCGAGTTTGAGCATGAACTAGTTCAACTAACTTCATTGAAAGATGGTTGGACTGCTGGGAATTGACTTAGTTGCATTTTTTTTCTCACTAGCCTTGATGTGAAATTAATTGGGCGAATGATAGCAACCATGAAAACAGCGTAAACTGGAAACTGTGAAACTGTACTTGTGGTTTGAGACTACAAGTGATTAAATGTGGTTTTACTACCCCTCAAAGTCTGGTTTCCAAGTCACAGTACCACAGGTATCGTGCCACAATGAAGTACATCTTTGAAAGCCTTAAGATAAATTGCTCAAGTAATATCTCCCTGTTGCAAAAATTGCATAACATATTGTTTTACCTACTGAAACTGCCTCATCTTGGAAATGGTTTTGATTTTCAGCTGAAGACCTTCAGCACCAGTGTCAGGCCTTAGAGGAGGTTATTCGACATTCCCACAGCTTGCTGCTACCAAATGACCACCCAGCGCTGCGCAGTCTCCTCAAGGAACTCCAGTCACTGTACCAGCAGGAGAGAGTCGAACGAGAGGGCGTAATCCGGGAGCAACAGAGGCTGATTGCCCAGCAGGAGGAGCGTGTGGCCTGTGCCAGGGGACACCGTGCACAGTGGGAAGCGGATCGCTTGCGCAAGGTACAGGAGGAGAGAAGCAAGCTCGACAGAGACCTTGGGTGAGCAGCAGCGGATCTAGTATGATTGATCTATTGTGATAGATTCGCATTAAGGCAGCTAGTGAAATATAGTCCAATTTTATGATATACAAAATGGACACGGGATGCGAAAAATCTAAGACCAACCAAACTCAACATACAAAATTCCATCAGGTTGTCTAATGAGCGTGGCTAACTGGTGATAGGTCAATTCTAGAGGGGTTGGTTAAGATGCAGACTATTAGTATATTCAACTAACAGTACATTCAGCGCTAATTACAGAATTAAGTGGCAATTAAGAAGACAATGAAGAAATGCTCATTTTCAGAGGTGGGAGGGAAAACCCCAGATGAACTTTCCAGGGAGAACCCACAGCATCAGACAGAGACTGAAAACCCAATCCACCTGCTGACGTAGGCAGGATTGGAACCCACTAACGCTAAATGTATCTTACCAGGAGGGTGATTTTACTGGGCAAATACGCAGGCACCAAAAGTTTCAGTATGCATTTGACGTGATGAGTGCTGAGATGAGTCGTTCCCGAAGCCCTGATGATTCATTGGTGGTGACTCAGTGAGCTATGCACATGGTCTGCCTTTGAAAGCTGAGTGAGATTACTGCCTTTACACCGATGTGGCATGTGAACTATTCACCTGCACCAAAGTCAAGCACAGTGCATGACACTGTACAGAAAGCAAATTTTTTTTTTCCAACCTCTTCTGTGTTTTTTCCTCCTGCTGCAGGTAGCTATATAATGTAAATACCTTCAGAGTAGGAGACCAAAATGTTGAAAATGCCTTACTCAATAGTAAATACTTTCCCTACAAGATGGTTTAATTATGCAAATTACATTCAAATGCACATTCTGAACGTGGAGTTTTTTAAATTTTCACATCCAGATTTGCTTTGTGCTCATATCAACAAGGGCTTTACAGCAGATACCAGTTTTACAGTCGTAATTTATTCGTTTTTAGGCATCTACATCTGGACAAAGACCACTTGTTTAAAAGAGAGACGTGCCTAGCAGAACAGATTGCTGAAGGAACTGTTCATTTACGTCAGTCCAGAGATTCACTGATGGAAGACAGGGCAAGGGTGCAGGTACGTAAGACTACACTTTTAACTCTATTCTGGGCCGGCATTGCAATTAAACTCGGTACACAATCTTCAATGTTCTATGGTGTTACACGTGGTTAAAGCTAAACCAGACTAATCTCACATGGTAATGTTTCACACTTTCAATTTTTGTAGGAGGAAATCGAGAGCTTAGAGGCCAAACTATCCGCCCTGCGTCTCCGGGAGAACATCTTCTCAGAAGCGATACTGAAGAAAGACCGTGAGATGGAAACAGTGACTGCCGGCTTCAAGGATGAGCAGTCGGCATTGGAGAAAGAGAAGGGAACCCTGGAGGGGGTGGAGCTGGAGCTGAGGAGGAGGAGAGAGCAACTGGACAATGAGGAACAAAGGTTGGCTGGTAGGATGGAGGAAGTCAAGATGACAGAGGAAAGGTGAGAATTGCTCTTTAATCTATGTCAGATAAGCACCGACTTTTACAGAGTAGTCATTGCGCAAGAAAAAGAGGAACATTCTTTGTGTGATACTATTGTGTATTTAATAGCAAACCTCTTGACTGAAGACGCAATTTTAACCACCTGGAGTTCTTGTGAAAAGGTTGCAGCAACAACATGCTGTGGGTGAGAGATTCCTGCCCATTATGATAAAGCCACTTGGACCCAATCATCGAGGACTGACCTCTAGATCTGAGACTAAGACTTTAAGTTTAGGGACTGAGATCAGTGTATTTTTGAGTGAGGCCTTGCAAATTAAGCCTGAGACATGAAGATCTGAGCTCGAGATTTAAAGATCCAAAACAGAGGCCTGCCTAGAGGTCTGATACAGATCTCCGTACGTGGGACTGATAGATCTTGGATACAGAGTGAGACTTGGAATCTTAAGAGTCCTGTTGATCTGAGACTTAGAGTTATAGATCTGACACTGAGACATACTGACCTGAGACTGAAACCTTTAGATCTGAGATGGAGACCATTCAGATCTGAGACTGACACCTGTAGATTTGATGTCTTTAGATCTGAGACTAAAGCCTTTAGATCTGAGACCGAGGCCATTAATCTGAGACGGAGGCTTTTAGATTAGATACTGATGCATGCAGATCTGAAACTGAGGCCATTAAATCTCAAACTGACACCTTTAGATCCAAGATTTGTAGATCTGTGACTAAGACCTTTGGAGTCAAGAAATATCAAGGGTTTTTATTTGTTTGGCATTTTAATTTATTTACCCTACAGTGAAACCAGACTACTGGTGGACTTGCGAGAAGATCTCTCCAAACAGGAAGATGCCATCAGCAATCTTGAAGACAAGGATGGTTTTACTCTTGCCGAAATTTGGCTGGAGAACAAGTCTACCCCGCTGTCCGAGAGAAGAGAGAAGTTACTGAAGTACAGTTTTGTTGCAGATTATTTTGTGACTTGCTCTTGTTCTACCCTAGCAATATTTTCTGAAAGGCCAACTTTTTTTTTACCAATTGATATTTTTTGTCAATTCAAAGGCAGAAAGAGGCAGCACAACTGAAGTACGAGAAAGTGCAGAAAGCGACATCCAGCCTTCTTCAGAGCCAGACCCGAGTGGTATCTCTGAGGAAGAGAGTGAGTGACACGGAGGGCCACATAGCCTCACTGACTGAGACCAAACAGCTAGCTGTGTCAGGTGAGTTGGGAGGGGAATGGGTAGCCAAAGTTGAAGAATAGTAACCCGATATCAAGCTTGCTCTTACACATGCAGAAAGGATATTATCTAAAAGGAATAAACTGTGAACTACTGAGAGGAAAAATGGGTATAAATCCAATTGCTTGTAATTGCAGTAAACAAATCAGAACATTTGAAGCTAGTTATCATCTCGAGCTAGTTATCATCTTCTACTAAAAATAAAGGTTGAAATGTAATAAGACCTGACCTGTAAACAAGGTTGCAGTGGTTGCAGTTGGTTTTGATTGTTTTCTGAACATAGGCCGTGGCCGAAACAGGCTTCCAGAGCTACGGCTAGGTCTCATGTCTGCGCGTCTCCACGTACTTTCAATGGAGTGAAGACCTAGCTCTAGACAACGGATTTGGATGCAGCCATAGTCTGACTGCAGTGATCCCTGTCTTATAAAGACGGAAAGATATTTCACATCAAATTTTGGGATCGTTCTTTTCCAGGTCGGAACTTTGCGGAGGCTAAGAGGCTGACAGAGGAGATCAAGCAGCTCACAGCAGAAGGGCAGAGCATCCAGAAGGAGATGGAGGAGGTGAGCAAGAGCAACGAGGAGAGGAGCGAGACGGTGAAGACGATGATGGAAGATGCGGAGAGGATGCAAGAAGAGATCAATGAGGAGGAGAGAAAAACAGGTCGGTTGGGATGCTGTTTCCTTGTACGGTCCTAGCATGTGTTGTAGTCGGGTACCTTTCTCCTCAAAACTTAATTTGTACAAACTGTAAGAGCCTGAAGTCTTAAATGTGTTTTGTACCCTTATCCCATACGTTTGCAATCAGTGTCCATGCTGTCCAGCTTTGCTCACACCTAACAAGCTCAAATTTGGCACAAATTGCCCCTGGTTTATTTTCCTCTGCATTTATTATCTTTTCTACCCTCTTTTGTTGTCAGAATTAATGATCAAAGACAACCTTGTGGAGCATATTGCAAACGTGAGAGATAGGCTTCAGAGCATTTCCTCGAGCTCCTTGATGAGGACACTCCTCAAAGCCGAGTTGGCGTCCAGTGCCTTGCAGGCAAAGTTGCTGTGCCTCAAACACGGAGAGCCGTTCCTGGCCGAGGTGGAAGAACTAACAGAGGGTTCTGTGGTGGAGGAAATTGACGATTGTCCGGAGTTGACGCAGGAAGAACATCAGGTTGGGGAGGAATTGCCAAGTGATGAAGGATTGAAGACAGCACAGATGGAATTAGAGAGACTTGAAAGCCAGCTACAAGAAGCAGTACAGCAGGAGGACTACGACAGAGCTGATATCCTTCACTTGTCAGTTCAGCCCACAGAGATATAAACGTTTACACCGCCAGATCACATTAAAAACTACATGTACATTCACATTTTGTGATGTTTGACTAAAATAAAAAATGTGGGTAAATTCACCCTTTGGTCTAGGACTTTATGCACAGTTAAAGAATTCTAATAGTTTTTGACTGTAGAATACCCCCCTCCCCCAAATACTTAATCTGGCCCATGTACATGTAGATTCAAAGCAATGCAGTTGAAACATCAGAAATGAAGAGGCAGCAGGATCAAGAGCAGAAAAAAGAACACAATTTGAGAGCACATGATGAACAGATACAGGCATTGTAAGCTCATCATCTCGAGCTGAGTGCATTTAATGAGATGATTATGCACTACCATCCATGGGTTTACCCATACTTTCCAGAATCATGGTTTTTACAGGCAAGACTGGTAGTCAGATATGTACATGTATGTCTGTACTTCAGGCACAGTCTTAAAAAAAAAAAAAAAAGTGGAGAGATCTCCCTTGACCCCTTGGCTTGGATGCCTAGCTTGCATTAAGTGCCTTGCAGGTTAAAATAGCGTGCCTAAAACCTGAACAGCCATTTACTTTTCAAAACAAAAGGGGAAATCAGTTTTGTGACCTGATCATGCAAAATTAGTCTTTTCATTTTTACTGCTGTGTATTAGAAAGATAGTTCTTTGTTCTAAATGTTGATAATCGCACTTTTGCACAATCTCAAGAGTTTCATCAAGTCCCCATTGATTTCTAATGTGGAAAGATTTTAAAGAAAATCCAGTACAAATATTGGCTCTTTGGATAAAGTGTGAGAAAACCAAGGAAAAAAATGGAGTTGTTACAGATTTCAGAGGTTTTCCTCAAATGTTTCATTGAATTTTATTTTTATTTTCAGTCGCCATTCATTCCTTAATCATTGTCCGTACAGCTTCTTCAGAGGCACATTGATGCAATCCACCAGCAGAACCAGACTTTGGAAAACAACAGCTGACCAAATGAGGTTCATAATTGCTGCTCGCCAGCAGAACCAGACTTCGGGAAAACAACAGCTGACCAAATGGGGTTCATCATTGCTGCTCGCCAGCCGAACCAGACTTCGGAAAATAAGAGCTGACCAAATGGGGTTCATAATTGCTGCTCGCCAGCCGAACCAGACTTCGGAAAACAACAGCTGACCAATGGGGTTCATAATTGCTGCTCGCCAGCAGAACCAGACTTCGGGAAAACAACAGCTGACCAATGGGGTTCATAATTGCTGCTCGCCAGCCTTTTAAGTGCCACTGATTTTTCCTGGTTTTATATCTGTGCATACCCGTATTAAGTGTTTTATAACAGTAAAACCCTATGTCAGATGGAGTTGAGACTTCACGAATGTAGATGTTCATAGTTAATGAGCATGAGAAATTTCAAAGACAAAAGTATAGGACAACTGAGACGGGGGGGGGATCTGACCAGCACACGCCCCTTTATGAATAGTCACACCCCCTTATGAATAGTGGGAATACAATGACTATCAAGGATGTGAAATAAGTCAAAAGAGAAGTGACAGCAATGTAGCTAGTCAAAAAAAAAATGGTGATTGTGTTCATATCTGTGTGGTTTTCGTATTTGTTATGACGTACTTGCCATTGATAGTTCGGTGCAATATAGCTTACTTTAGTGCAAGTTTAACCACATCTTATCATTCGGGTTACATTGCAATGGCATGTAATTTTGTAGCATGCTTTTCCATTTCGAATGGTACTTTGGCCTCAGAAATCTTTTTCAGGAGGAAGCATTGAAACATGCGCATATCACGTCACACACAAGAGATGATATCCGTGGATGAGACGTTCTGTGTACTTGCACACAATTGGTTCACGGAGACATTGAAATCCTGAGCTCAATTGGTGCTCAGTTTTCAGAAGAAATAAAACATTCGTTTACAGTGCCGTCTCAGAGCTAGAGGCAATCTTTACAATGGCAGCATGCAAGGACAAACACCATCACTGGATGGATTGTACCATTACTGTTTCGATGCCAATAGTTGTCATAAAATTACTTGATAATAGAAAATGTTATCTCTGAAATTCGAGATACTCCCCTAATCTTCAATTGTGCAATTAATGGTTGATAGCTTTTAATGTGTAATTGGTTTGTTTATTGTTTTAATAACAAAATGGTCAATATATAACATATCAATCTTTGCAACTCATTTGGCCTTTGGCATGTATTAAAGTTTTAAGCTGCGAAAGAAGTGATTAAAAGACAAATTCTGCTGGCTACAAAATGTTTCATTTATTATCCCAACTAAATGGTATTAAAACAAACTGTACAAGCGTTATAAACATATCGTTACAAAGCTCAAAGCCCTAATGAATATTTCTCTTGGTACATAAATTCAATTACCCACAAGCAAATCTTGTAACTTGGAATCAACACAAATACCGGAATCACATGCTCAAACATGTTGAGAGACAAACAGTTCCACCCACACTTTTTCACACTTTGGCTCTTAAATGTACTTCACAGTTTCGTATTCTTTAACTGTCGGCATTCTAAGTACATGCAACAATTTTCCACAACACTGAATGGAAACCCCTGGGAAAATTTCCCGAATCTCCATGACAAACTGGGATTCCACTCAGTTGATAGGAAAGCTTCACACAATTATACTGGCTTTTAATACAATTTCCTGTGACAAAAATGGAAAAATCCTTGCACAGTTACACAGACCTTTCCATGGCATACGGAAGTTCTGATTCCTGTCAGTAATACCTCTGTATTCAAAGCATGCCAAACAATCTGTGACAACAATATCCTTTCCATTTCCACTAATTATGGAATCTTGACACAACTCGAGCTCTTGTAATGCAGTTAACTTTCAAACAATGGCATAAAATTACCACCTTCAGGTAATTCCAAAAAGTTTCCTAACCAGTAAGTCACATCATAAGCAACAAATGTGGTTTTCAGTATTCACAGCAGAGTGACTTGGAGTCATTTGTTCATGCACTAGCAAGTAAAAAGGTGCAAGAAACAGGCTGTTGCAACAGCAAAACTTAGTTAAAACTTTTTGTGAACTACAAAGTACATTAACTGCAAAAGGCCATTTACCAAACAGATATTCACGACGACCAAAAATGCTGAGATGTGTAACTGTCACATTTCCTTCTGTTTCCTTCACTCCGGCAATTTTTGAGCAAACAATTCACACTAATTTATCCTCGCTTTATACAAGGAATGGCCAGGAACTGAATAGTGAAGTGGATGTTGAATCGCATGGCATTCATTTGAATACAAACACACAAATGACATGCAAATTCAACTCAATACATATTTATAGCCATTTGTGACCCCTCCCAAGTCACAAATCCGCAAGTCACAAATTACAGACAACTGGCTACTGAATATTCAACGTTTGAAGTTTTGAAGTTTGAAGAGATTCCTAATGATGTCTCTGATTTCAATTTCTGATTTAATTTCTAACAGCCTGCTTTAACTTGGAATCTGAGTTGTAATGAATTTCCCCTTTGATTTTTTTCGGGGGGGGGGGGTGTTGACTTTTTCTGAATGACAAACTTCTCTTTTTAATATGTAAAATTTTTTGTTTGATTGCAAAACTGGTTGAGAATACCATACCATCAACCGCTTAATGTCTGTTCAATTTTTTTCAGTATTAAAAATTTTCTGCTTTTATCTGATCAAACATTCAAGTTTTTTAAACACCATATTTTTAAAACCAACAATTTCAATGTGATGAAAAATTGACAAGCCGAACAGCCGAACTCATGGGGAAAATCAGGTACGTATTTTTGAAATTTGATGAGAGGTATTATGTCGAAACCCATCCAACCCTCACTGTAGGTAAAGGCTTGACACACTTTTAACCAACATATTCAATACATTTGGTTAAGATATAGTCTTTTAAGCATCGTGTAATCAAGTCCACAAGAGCTATTTTACATTTGTATGAATATTTGATTTGTTAAAATTAGACACAAAATTAGTTACTGTTACACACTATTTCACCACTGTACATGTTGGTGGAAACGCAGTACCCACAAATTTAACCAACAAATAAATACCTTTTAGTGGAACATTCCGCAAAACTGCCAATTCATTTCAGTGAAACCATCACCAAATAATTTCCAAGAGCTACATTAAAGTTTCTCACAAAAAACTGATTTGTTACTGTAATTAATATTGTACAAATACTGATCCCCATCAGACATTTGAACAGCATAAGTATGTGAACTCTTATGCCACCTATTTATGAAAAACATGTTTTTTAAGATGTACAAGTTTGAAACTCTGGGATATGCTCTTTTGAATAATGCGTCATCCATTAAATCAACCAGCCAACATTTATTTTCTTTCATTGTTTAACTGGCATGCGGCACACCAAAAATCATTTCTTTGAATGTAATAAACCACTTGCCCTAATGTTTTCAAGCACTTCAACATTTCACCCTTTTCTAAATCACAATTCACCTTAATGTGTATGATACATGTTCAGCCTTTCTTCCCATAAAAAACTAGAAACTTTTTTTTACTTTCGCAAAAATGCTTAAACTTGTGTCAGTCACTCAGATGCAACTACAACTCACACCACGCATTTCTGATCAAAATTGCTTGTTAAAAGTACCTGTAATATCGTCAATATCAAAACGGCAGCATAGGGTCCAGGCCAACTTACACACAGTGGGCAATGGGATCTTTGAACGGGGTATTTGCCATGATGTGCTATTGTATTTACATTTGCCAAAGTGTTGATTTTCTCCCTCTTAAGAGCATGCGTAAGAGCAATATATACCAAGTATCAGATGAGTAACTTTTCTAGGACTACTTCCCAGATCCAGGCCTGGGCCCAATTTCACGGCGGTGTTTACTGCTATTTCTTGTGCTAACGTAACACAAAAATCTGCTTAGCAGCAAGTACATTTCACAGTGAACATGTCCCAGTTGCTGTGCTTACATGTGGTACAAAAACTGCATGTGCATGCATAGAGATTTCCACTGATGCATCATTATTAAAGCTTAGCAAAATTTTTCCTCATAGGTAAGTGTGCTTTTTGCTGTGCTGTACGGTCTCAATAAACTATGCAGAATCTCTGTCAGCATAACATTGAGTGCTTAGCAGACTGACACTGAGCCCTGGTATTTGCATTTATTAGTAGGACATATTCCATGCAAATGTCACAATCATAATTGCTTGATGTGTATATTGTAAGTGTCTGTGTAAAAGGATCAGAGAAATGATGCACCCCCCCCCGAAAAAACAACTGATTACAAAATCCTATACCCCTATCAATGCAAAAAGGGATGTAAAAATGGTAACAGAGTCATGACTAGTACACAGTAATGCCCAAAGATCGTATAGCGCCACAAAGCGGTGCAAGATGGCGAACTTCATCGTGAAAACACGTAAAACATTGTAATCCCATGGGCGCCATTTGAGCGAGCGATACGCATGCGCAATGCACAGTAATGCACAGGTGCCGCGGCAGGCATGTGCACCTGGTGAGCCTGCGCCCAAGCATTACTGTAAACTGCGCAGGCGTATCACTTGCTCAAATGGCACCCATGATAATTACATCTTTTGGGCAAGGTTATCCACCTTGCGCCTTCAGCGCTATACCATCTTTGGTAATACCTATTCTTGACAGAAACTGAAGAAATGATTTCGTTATCATTAATGCATTTCAAACACTTTAAAGATTAACTGGAAATACTTAAACATATACATGGTATTGAGGCAGGTAAATTTGATGCTCAACTGAGGCAATGCTGGAAACCAAACCAAAGGTTTCAAAGATTAAAAAAATCCCAGTTAAAGTATATTTATAAAAGGGAAATCTACATGTATATGCTCAAACTGAGTCAACAATATGTGCTTGATGAAATAGTGATCAACCAATTTAACAGACACACACAAAAACTTAGATATTGATGGGGAATATAAAAACATTCTCCACACATTATGTTTGTCGATGTAATGGTACAACCATTAAAATGATGATACAAAAAATTCAACATAAATAAGAAATTCATGAGAAATGTACAGTTGATGGCTGTATGCTAATGTCTTAAAAAAGCAAAATTAAATATGAAAACTGAAACAAAGAAAGCTTTTATGCAGTGTTAAAAAGGCCTAGATTGGCAAGATTAAATTAAATCTAAATTGAAGATCCCCCAAACAAGAATCCTGCTACTTTTTATAGCCTTGACACAGACCCTAAATGAACAGAAAGATGTAATACCTTTGCTAGATTTATCACACACATTCGTGTCTCTATTGTGGTATGAACGCAACAGCTCCAAACAACTTATATCCCTACCCACACCAAACAGGGGGCCGGGGGGGGCACTGGTGCAACCTGATTCAATCTCCACCTTCTCCAGCTGAGTACTAGTTTTTGACTCCTAGTGATAATATATCTCACAGCTATGCCAATTTCTCAACCTCCCTCTTGTACTTAGACAGTATTTTCCAACAGAATTTATTTCTCAAAGCACCCTAATTTTTAAGTATCAGAGTGTTCAGTCTGTTCCGAGCGCTGGTGCCAGTTTTTCTGAAATGCAGACATGGTGCTCAAAATTAACAAAACATTCAGGCAAGTTCCAAGGCCTGTAATTACTGCAAGCCCATCTAATGTGTTGCCATTTTGTGAAGTTCAATTCAGAAGGGTCCTGCCCTGACCGCCCTACAAGCGCCCACAATCGTGCTGTAAAGTCTTACCCTGTTAAAATTCATATCAATAACACTACCATCAAAAAGGCCTTTCTCAAAAAGCACGATTACGCTGCTTACCAGTCGGTATGAAAGATTTGCGCTAATGTGTTAAGTGGAAGAATGTCCCTGAATATGTACATGATTGTATGAAAAATGGACAAGGATCATCACATCAGGTTTTCTTCCCAGAAAACTAGAGAGAACCAAGACTTGAGGCGACTTTCGTGCACACATCTTTGGGGGGGTGATTTTCATAGTAAGAACTGGCTACATTTCATGTAGTCTAGTTCCCAGACCAAATATTCCTACTGCTGTGTACAATCTTAGGTCCGGTACCCACTACTAGTCAGTACGTGACTAAAATGGCAGAATTCCCCCATTACCAAAATCTTTCAGAAGTGGCCGAAATTTTCAATCACCAAACTCATGTTTGGTGATTTTGGATATTGTACAGTTTGTAACATCTAACATGTATAACCACCTTTCTACAAGGACAGCTCACTCAATTTTTTAAAACTTGTTTTTCAACACTCACCGCCACTTTTAGATGACTTTTGACTACGGTTACTTTGAAATTAAACGGACACGCACATCCCGCATCCCTGACATTAAGTCATACATCTTACCCTGCATCACGCTATATTTGTCAAAGGTGGCTACAATTTATACATGTACAGAGAATTGTGAGGTCCGGGAACCAGACTACATGTCCCGTATTTCTACTTGTGATTGGTTCTCAATTGCTAGGGCTGATATCGTAGAGCTCCTGAGCATGGTATTTGCTAAGTGAAGTAAACATTTGCTCAGCAAAAGTAGGTTACAAGCCAAACTGCTGAATTCCTCTAAGCACCTACAGGAACATTTACTAGGAAGGGCTCTCTGCTTAATTTAAGCCATGTCCAAATTCCTTGACTGTGATCAACAGTTACGCTCAAGTCCATGGAAGTAGCTGCAACCAGTTTCCATAGAGTGCTTGCGTAATTTCAAGCCGCAGCCAAGTGATTCGGACGCAGCCTTTCTCCACTGGGCCTGGATCTTAAAGCACAGACACTGACTTAAACAAGAGACCGATCCAAGGCACAAGGATCCCTGTGCAGGAGTTCCTACCCCTCCCCAAGTCTCTCATGATGAAAGCACTGTGCCGGCTTCGTAACACCTGCCAGTCATTGTGCACTTGGGATTGTACACAACCCCTAGATTCAGAGAGTGTGATCATCCTTCAGTTTCCTCCGGGCAGCTTCTCTTCTGACATGCCAGACATTAAAACTGTTATTTGAATACAAACTTCAAGAAAAAAAGTAAAGAGTACTTTTGTTATGATGCTTGTTTGTAACTGCTAACATAAAAATTAGAGTATTGATTATAGAATACATCATGTGAAATCATACAAACAATATACGGAATATTTTGGTGCTTACAGCTAGGAATTTACACATGGTGAAGACGACACACTGGTACAAGTGCACTACTTCTAGTGGATTGGAATAGCAAAATATACAGAATCCGATGTAGTGCATGACCAAACTGGAATACAGGGCATGGAATAAAGATCTGAATGTTTAATGGTGGGGGGGTCTACTTGTCATGAGTGTATAAATACATGAATCAGATAATCCAGAACTTCTTTTTGGTGGAAAATGAGGGCTCAACGGCTTGTTGGTGCTTCAAAATTCAGTGCTCGCTGTACACACTGCAAAGCCCTTCACATCCCCAAGCATCTCGCATGCCCATATTTCACTGACTGGCTTCATGCGGTTAAAGGCATTCACTGATGAAAATATACATGTCTTTTACTCTCCTTCAAATGCAGAAACAAATTTTGCATATTGTTTTATGTACAATGTATTTTTCTCCCTGTGGATTGACTTTATTTGGTAACAGCTGGTTAAAAATAACACTAGAATACAAACTCCATCGAATGTCCCAGAACAGAGCGAGAAATTTATGTTACACAAGTACTGTACATAAGTGCAATTTTGTTGTATATCTACAAGAGGCTCGATCGTACACAAGTTTTTTTACTTGTGCCTGAGTTGTCTCATGGGCCCCAGGAGGGAGGAATCGGGACCGGCAGTCCGTAAGAAGGGGTGTTCGAGAAGCTCGAAGGCGGTGGCACGTTGAGTGGGGTCGCGCACTAACATCCTCTCCACGAAGCCCTGCAGACGTGGCGAAGCCTTGGGAAAAAGTGCGAGGAAAAAAAAAACCAAACAAACAAAGTAATTATGCTATTCGAACTGTTAATGATTTGCTTCCCGATGAGTCTGAAGGCATTTTTTGTTTTTTTGCAGGACTTCACTTTGCTTTAATTTGCAACAGAAAAAAAGCAAATGGAGCTATGTTTCCATGTGTGACTCAGTTTGGCATCCTCAGAAAAAAGTGCATGATGTGGGTGAGAAAATGTTGCAGGCTGCTGTTGATTAACATTGCGCAAGATTCTTTTAAAGTCCTTAAACTAGCATATCTCAGTTTGTTGGGTTTGCATTTCAAATCAAAATGTGTATGTTACAAAGCTCATGACAGGTTTCAGTAACATGAAGTCAAATCCTGCCTGTTTGCTAACTGACTGCTCACCTTGTGTGGGTTCTTGAGTTTAGGTGGAGGCATGTCACGGATGCGTCTCATGGCCTGCAACGGGGGCTCATTGAAGAACGGCGGTTCACCATCCACCATCTCCATGACCATAATTCCAAGGGACCAAATATCCACCTTTGAAGTACCAGACAATTGCAATAAGTAACAAATTGTGACTGGCGCACTGTCCAGTTGGTACACACCAGGTCAGTGGACCAACTCGAGAAAGCTGGGGACCTTTTTTACATTTCGTAGGTTTCATTATCTACACTTAACAGTGTAAATGAATGGCCAGGAATGTCTGGTCTACTGACCTCTGGTCCGTAAGGTAACCTGGAGATGACCTCGGGTGCCATCCAGTAGGGCGTCCCCACCAGCGACTTCCTCCGAGGCATGTCTGAAGAGACTTGAGCGCAGAACCCGAAGTCAGACAGCTTGACCTGAAGAGGATGGGAGACACAAAGTTCACACCAAGTGAATTTCAAGTCGCATCTTCTTCCATAACCAAAAAAAAAAAAAAAAGACAAGTAACTCAGGATCAAAGTAATGCGTGAATCAATATGACTTGTCTGGTCGTGTGTTTATTCATGACAACCGTCAACTGCAATGCTGGTATTTCACAATTATTAGTTTACTTTCTAAGCCATTTGCTTTCTGTACTATGGAAGTCAAGCCATGACCAACCAAGCAAGACACACGATTTCATCAAAGCACACCACATACGAGTTTGAATTCAATGCAGGAACTAGGTGGCTCAATGTATCTGCTCATTGGGATTAACGAACAAGTCACGTGGGAACACCATTTCTGTTAGTGCCCACAGGGTGCCAGCTGCCCGATTTTCAACTGAAGGTGCAATCCTATTTGTGACAGTGGCAGCAACATTCTCCATTCAATTTTTCATGGTGGAACGAGCAACAATGCGCAGATGCCACACACAGCCATGAACAAAAATAAGTGCATTACATACCAAGAGTGAACACCGTCTTCTTCTCGTGTAGTTAAGAAAACTGGGTGAAATTACACATTTTCCCTTGCACTATGAGCACTATTTTATGCTAGATTTTGGTTGATAATTCCTCTTCCTTTTGCCACAGATAACCTGACACAAAAATGTCCCTAAAACTGCTTTCGAGAAAGGAGGTCGCCTCGTGTGGACCTCGCACAATCCAAACAAGGTTCAAACAACCTTCATCATGTAGACCTTTTCTTGATCATGGGTCCGAACTAGGGATGGCAGGTCAGTAGTCCATAACTTACCTTGCCATCATGGGTCAGCAGGATACTGTCACTCTTGATATCTCTGTGTATGACACCCTGTGAGTGTAGGAAGGCAAGGGCCTTCAGAATGGCCTTGCAGATGTAGGCTATGCTCTCCTCTTCCAGTCTGCCACCAACAAGAAAAGAGAACAGCTGCGTTACAATTTGCTCTGTACAGGCACAAGAGATGGCATGTTTTTACACGGCAAAGACGGGCACGTGCAGATTTAAATGTGCTGGGCGAGGGATGTGCTGGGTGAATGCTTACAGTTTCTGTTTAAATGTGTGTGCAAGTTAAGTAATAGGTTTGTGGTCGTACCATGCAAAAATATCTCCTTTGAATGAGTGGTTCTGAAAAGAACAGGCGGGTACTCAGCGTTTAGGACAGTAACTTGCCACCTTTTCACCATAAAAAGCTTACTCCAATGGGTGCACTTTGGCTGTGAACTGGGCGCCAGTTAAAACCGTTCTCATCAGCCTCTCTAAATCACTGAGACGATGGCGGGGAGTGTTTTATCAGAGTGCCCGACGGATAGATATTTTCCCAACCCCTCCAGAGCTTTTAAATTGGTGTACCAAACACAATGTTCCATCTCAGCTGCAGAGCGGTATTCAAACGGTATTCATGGAACACAGCTCCACTGAGAAACCCCAGAAGGTTTAGCCCACAAAAATTGTGCCTAGTTGCTTAAAACCATGTGGAAGTAATTTACTGAAATTTACGGTAACTCATCAACTATATACTTTTGCTCCGATATGCTGTCTCCAGGGCTTACTTTTGTGTGTGGGTGACAATGTCGGTGAGCGCGCCGCCTTCCAAGAATTCCATGACCACCCAGAGTTCATCCCCTACCAGGTAACTGCTGTACATCTCCACAATGTTGGCATGCTTGTAGTCCCGCATGATGACAACCTAGCAGGGTAAAATGGCAGCAATAAATTTTAACGTTGGTTCTGGATCTCTCAGACCATGGTTTTGCAGGTCGACAGAGAGTGCTGTACTATGTGGAGACTGCAGAATTAAACATGGGGTAACTCTTATCCCAATGTTCCCCACCAAAATCTTATCAAACCTTGAGGTGAAGGCGGTATCAAAGAAAACATACAACTTTTTCCCTACATGAAGTACAAACTGACCTCGTTGAACAGGAGTTCCCTCCTCTGTTGCTTCCTCAGGTCCATCTTCTTTACTGCTACTTGGCGCCCGCTCCCACGCTCCGTGGCAATGCAGACGATACCCGTCGACCCCTCCCCGATCTTGACAAAGTGGTCCAGGTGCTGGCGGGGGTCACCCTGGCTCACTACCATCTGCAGGGCAGCCCGGAACTGCTCGTGGGACACCCGCTGCTCCCCAGCCGGGGAAGGGGTCTGGCCAGAGCCGGCCAGTCCTTGCTGATGCTGCGGATGCTGTTGATGATGCTGCTGGTGCTGCTGTGGCGGCGGCGGTCCAGGCTGCATGCGCTGGCTTAGCATGGGGTCGTCCTTGGGTGGGCCACCTTGCGGGTGGGTGTTGAAGCGGCCCTGGGGCTCCGGGTGGCCGTAGGATGGGCCAGGGCCGTGGGGCCTGCCCTGAGGCGGGGCATGCTGACTGTCGGAAGAATGGGAGGAAGAAGGGGACCGGTGCTGCTGGGCCTCGTTGCGGTTGAGATTCATGCGCGAGAAGTCACCAACCGGATAACCCTGTGAACCACAACGAGTTGCATTTTACAATCAATGTTTTGATCACCATCCCTAATATTTAAAAAAAATCCACCAAAACCCCCCAGGGGTCAAATTCATAAAGCACAACACCAAGTAAATTGCTGGACAGGATCTGTGCTCATGTTTGCATAGTACAAGAATGTGCCTTTTTCATCTTGGCAGCTCCATGAAACAGCAACATGAAGTCCTTGCCGTTAATGAAATTGTTGCTCACACTCGAAATAAATTGGAGCACGCACAAGCATTTTTTAAAATTCAGCTTTGTGCTTTATAAAACTCAGGAGAAGGAACAATACTTCTGATACTGATCCCATCAACTAATCAAAACTGATGAATGCGCGATGATGTTGGAGGATACATTCACTGTGATACAGTGTGTATTTTAACATTCAAAGTGCACTATTCAACACAACAAAATCCAAACCATCAATCATGATGTTACAATGACCCTTCACAACCCCCAGAGGACACCATTACTAATGGCATTACCACCCGAGTACTGTGAGTACTGTGTCACACAAACCTCTTTGCTGAAGAAATGCAGCAGATGATGCCTTGTGTGGGGTTTGCACTGAGCTCATACATTAATTTCTGTACCTACACAGATGAACCTAACACTACCATGCTTTAGCCAAGCAGGGCAGAGACTCAACGCTGAGTGCACTATAAAATGGCAATGAAAAAAAAAACTAAATGTTGATTAATTAAACATACCGCTGATTGTGGGTGCTGTCCATACTCGTTGGAAGACTGACCTGGGGCACTGTGCCCTATAGGCCGATTATCGCCCCCAGGGCCGGGCTGGTGGTAATTCTGCTGCTCGCGAGGTGAATTAGCTCTCCCATGGTGTCCCCCGGGGGGTCCCCCTGGATGTGCCCCTGGGGGTCCCCCTGGGTGTCTAGCTGGGTGCCCACGAGGGTACCTGTCATGATGGCTGTCAGGAGGTCCATCGCGCTGAGTCATATGGGTTCCATCGCGCTGTCGGTCTATCGTGGGGGGTCCGCCAGGCTGTGCATTGGACCCTGGGGGTGGGTGTGCCCCAGGGGGTCTGCCCTGGTATCTGTCAGGTGGTCCTGTCTGCCCATGATGGCCCGGAGGTGGTGCCCGTTCAGGTCCATGTGGGTCTGGCCTCCTGTCTCGATCCATATGTCTACAAAAAATACGCACTGAAGTCTGTAATTGTAAGCCTAGCAACATACACTGATCATGTTACTCCCGCCCACTACAAACATACATGTAAGCAATTGACACTGGCTTCAGTCCAATGTCACACTACATGTGCCAGCCACAAGTGTCATACACGCATGCATTCATGTCGGACATAAACCACTGCTGTGATCAGTCAAAAGAGTGGGGCTTTAATGGATCCGTCTATTTCGACACTATACATTTTCCATTTGAAATCTTAGCAATACTGGGAAGTAGCTTTTACTGTCCGAACATCAAATGATACAACAGCGTTCTTGGTCAACAGCACAATCATAAGTCCAAAGCACCATTCATTAAGTACAATGTAGAGAGAACACCTTTCTAACTCACTTATGTGTAGTGCATACAAGTACATGTAGTAGAACTTGACTGCAGAGGAAACGTACATGTACACTTGCTTCCTTTTCCTATCTGTCATGGCATGCGCTGTAAAGGCATGCGCAGTTCGGTTATTTGTGGCCTCTAAAGACAGAAGCACGTAGACAACTTCCCCGGCCCCAAGAATAATACACAGGCCACGTCTGAAATTGGCTTCCTAGGCTACGGCTATGCCTACTTCTCAACGTGAGCCTCTATATTTCTAACAGGTGAAAATCTTGACCTAGCTCTAGCCACAAAAGACTGAACTGCTTCTCTCGGGAGCAGCTGTCATCTACTGAAAACAGCATTTTTTCTGAAGTAGTGCAAATTTAAACAAACCAACTTTAAACAAATCAAAGTGTATAATCAAGGTTGCTAATAAAATTTAACTTTTCCCCTGCGATGGAGAAACTGTCTAAAATCAACAACATCATGCAACATGGAAATTTACGTGTATGCAATCAAGTTCAAAACAGCCCAAAAAATTAAATTAGAATAGTGATTGACTTAAGGCTTAGATTATTGCATACTGAAAGGGAAAGGTAAAATCAATATCAGTTATGCACACCTTGGATCAGGATGTCTTCCGCTGTAACCTGGCCCATACCCATCTCTTGGGGGCTCCCTCCATCCTTGCTGGTTGCGTTCATGCCTGTGGTCCAAGCTGTTAGATTGGCTGTTGTTGCGGTTGTCCCTGGCCGGTTCCTTGCCATGACGCTGCAGACTGCCGTGGTCATTCACTGCTCCCCTGAAATCATCCCCCGGCCGGTCGTAGCTGGATTTCGGCCGCTCCCCGTCGTTTGTCATGGTCATCCCCCGCTGGTCGTAGTTGCCCCTCTCTCGATCAACGTGCTCGGAGAGAGGCCTAGGTGGCATGTTGCCCCGGTCCATCGTGCCTCCCCGCTGGCGGGGATCGTACGTATTCCCCCGGGAATCCATCCTGTCCCTTGGGCCTTGGTCACCACGGTACCCGGGATCTCCCCGGGGTCCCTGCTCCCCCATTGGTGGAGGCTGTCCCCTGTGACCTTGCTGAGCCCTCGGGAAGGTGGAGTAACCTGGGGGTGGTTCATCGTAAGGATGTACAGGAGCAGTCCAATCATTTTCTGGTACAGACTCTGGAACCTTCAATTATGAAATATTAAAAAGAAATGACACATTCATTGCAATATAAAATCACTCCTATTACAAGTGATCTCCTGTGAAATCAACTCAACTGAAACTCAAACCTTCCAAACCCAATTCAAGTTTGAGTTTTACTTATCAAAAAACAAAAAAAAACAAAAAAAAAATCTCACTAGTTTCTGCACTCTGTCATGTTATGTTTACCGGTATACCATAGACTGGGTTAAAGCTTGTGTAAGAGCAGAAGTTCAAGCAAACTTGAATCCTTGATCCTGATTAGTCGACCCAGGGCAACCAAACTTCTTCTTCTCAAGTCCCTATACTACTCCAATCCAGTGCTGGACACAAAGTTTGGCCTTATTATTCAGGGTGGTTAGATCTGAAGAAGAACAAGGTTGGGGGAGATGGGGACATACCAGCAGGTGCTGCATTGTCTGCTCTTCACGGCGCAACCAAACGTGCAATATACCAAAATACATGTACCGGTACCACAGTCCATAGCGCACTCTGCACATTGTTTTATTGTCTACTTTCCCTTCCCCAAACTATACTGCATCCCTTGTGCAGTCTCTGCACAGTCCACGGTTGATTCAAGATGGGCACAGTGTCATGTTTCTATAGACAGTCCTAAATCCTACAATTTCAATCTGATTTTACATACATGTACATCCTAGGGGGTTGGGACTAAAGATAAATTCGGCCTCATGGCACATGCGACACAAACTTGAGGTGGCTTTGCATATGAACATTTTCAGTACATCTTCAGTCTTGAACTGAATAAGTTGAGTGGGAATGGTCATTGAAACTGCACACTACAGGATAAAACTAAGCAAACAGATGTAAATATGGACAGGACCAAACAATGCACATGTACTACAATGAAAGTTACCTAAGGAATTTCACGTTTAACCTACAGGTAATAATATGCCATCTCAATACCAAACGCGTATCTCAAATTTTTTTCTTTTAGTATCATTGAGTATGCAGTATTCTGAAATGACTTGAAGGTCCCCTCATACCTGCTGCTCCATGCGGTCCCTCTGTTGGCGCTGCTTGGCAGTGCTCTGGTTGCGTAATGAGTTGGACCGGGCTACCGATATCTTCCGGGGCTCAAACCCATTGGAGGGTCCATCGCCAGTCGGGGAGCTGGGGCCGCGCACAATATGCTGACGAAGAAGAAGCGCACATGAATTTCTGTCTGTAAAGGCACTCAAATCACAAGTTACCTCTGCATTTGCTGGCATCACATGGTCACTTGTATCACGTGCAATTTAATGCTGGTTTGTAATGCGATAAAAAGCAAACACAAACATCAAAGAACAGTCGTGAAATGCATGTGCCAGTACATGTATTCTGCCATAAAGGTAATGTGTTCAATTCCTGAGAATTCAAATAGTGAGTTTCAATCAGCTTAATGCTGAGCACCTGGACGGACTCGTACCATCCTTTCATGTTTGACAAGCTGAATATGTACCAGTTCTAATCTTTCACCTCACACACTTTCTCTGCTCCATGTACGTACATGTAAATCTATACCGCTTAATCCTCAAAACAACTGAACTTGATTTTTGAAAATATTTCAGAAAAAAAAAAAATCCTAATGGGCTGTGCTTTCCTTTTTTCTTCCACTTTCAGAATGTTTGAACACAAATCAATTTATTTTCCCTTGATCCAACCCACAGTGAGGGAGAGGCTATCAGGGTTGTGCTTCTTTTGCAAACATGGATAAGGGAAAGCCTGCATTCTTGAATGTTCTGACAGACAAGCAGGGGCAGACGGTGGTGAAGTGCCACCTCTTATCAAACTCATAACAATTTTGTTATTACTACATACATATCAGCCTCCATGCTGATACATGTACATATACATTCGTCTCTACAGGTGCATACATGTACCGTGACACACATACTGTACATGTACATGTATGTACAAGTACAATATTATGTTTCTAGTAAGTTTTACCCATGTACATACATGTAAATTCAAGTGTACATGTATTTGGTCAATAATTATCGCGTATCGGTATATCGGTACATGTGCATGTACAAGTTGTTAAGTGCAGGTGTGGATAATTCTACAGAATATTTTGGCAGAGATACTGGCCAATGTTGTGTGACATTCTCCGGTTACCGGTACATGTACATGTTTGAATATATATACCTTCAGACAAAACTTTATCTCAGTTGATCCTAGTCAGATCCCAAGAATGTCCTACAACAGTGACCTGTACTGGTATGCGACAGCCAAATGCACAGAACCGGTACATGTACATGAGTGCAATCAATCTAATACTTGTGCTGTAAATACATGTACATGCAACAAGTGGAAGCTGAATATGTACATGTAGATTAATTCAAGATGAAGCCATTAGTGGGCAGTGGCACCACATTCGTGCTTGTGTTTTGAAACTTGAAATCAATATTAAACACACGGTATACTTCATTTCCACTGATCCTCATTGCTTTTTAATACTGATTGATGGTTGAGTTTCTACTGTACGCCAATGCATTGATACATACAAGTAAATGTACAGCTTGCACTCAGTCACCGCTGAGTTGTACATGTGTTGCGTTTATGATTTAGCAAGGCTCTGGTTGAAATATTTGTGTTGCAACTACTTGTAGATCAGGCCAGCATTTACCTGTTTGTATTCTTCACTGTCTTTGGAGTTGTCAAAATTGTGGTTAAAATAGATCCCAGGGTACATGTATGTGAGGCTTTGAAAATTTTTAAAAAATGCATCTCTTTAAGGATTAAAAAAAAACAACAACTCACTTTCAGGCTGGTGACTTCAGTAGGAGTGATCAGTGACGGATCGATGATCGGTTTGGGCCTCTTCTCGTCGGCGCCTATAATGTTTGCCCACTGCCGGGGCAGTCCCATGTACTTGCCCGATTGCCGGTCATAGCCCGTGTGCACCCGGTGCTCAAAGTTGGACGGCAGGGAGATATTGACCCGAGATCCTTTCTTCGCCTTCTTGGCAAACATTTTCCTGTAAATAAAAAAAGAAAAAAATTCAGAAAAAAAGAACATTAAAAATCAAAAAGGCCTTTGAACTGATCCAAGGAAAACTTGCGTACCGGTAGATTAAGCACCCATCCAACACACTCTAAAAAACAAATCTGGATGCTTCATTTTATCCTACATGTACACGACCTACCACCAAAAGTTCTACGTTATTAAATGCAACCAAGATCACACAAAGAGGTTCAAACAAACAACCCACAGAGTTAACACATGCTGTTCAGTACATGTACGTGTACATCAGAAGGACGCAGGTGTACCACTGCATATATTTCCTGATGGTGTATTACACAGAAGTACATGTACATGTACACCAGCATGTTCAACATTCCTCAGCCAACAGGCCACTCAGCACAAGCCCCTGTCTGAAGAGAAGACAGCCTGCTGTGGACCCTAGATAAAAATGTGGAGCGCTTGCACTGAATTGGAAAACAGATCTCACTGAGATGGATGCCCTAAAGGTCAGGGGTCAACACAGCCAGACACCACTGATTCTGCAAGCTACACAGTGTGGAATTTTTGTAAATAGAGAGGGGCAGTTCACACCATTTGCAGCACTGACCCTGGAATAAAGGACAGAATAACTCCTCCCCAACAGAACAAATGATAGGAGTAAGTCAGAAATTTCCTTACAGAGAGCACAAAGAATACCAGTGGTGGGGGTGAGGGAGCTGCACATCTGTCAATGTCAGATTCCAACTGGGATAAAAGTAAAGAGGGTTGTCACCCTGGCCCATCTTCCGGCTAGGGAGCACCATGTACACGTGCACGTACATGTTTGCATATTCCTACATGTACCAGTGAGTACAGTATACATGTGCATGTAAAAACACATTCTGTGGACAAATATGCATACAATACAGGTTGGACAGAGGCAAAAACAGGTCAAATGTGACCCAACATACATGTAGAAGAATGGATCCAAAGCCACCGGACCCACTGTTGAGTTACATGTAAATGTACATCATGGAGGAATAAAAGCATGGTTACATATAAAGCTCTTTAAATTTATAAGAATTTCTTACATTTCACGAGTAAATTGAAAAGGAATGCTCTCGGTTTCCCACCCACATACATGTATACATGTACTGTGTCCATTTTCACTAGAATACCAAGGTACAGGTGTTAAAAGAATGTATACACCAATTTAACCTCAGTTTACATTTAATGTTTCTAATTACTGGTGTGCCTACGCAGTGTGCGTGCGTACATGTACGTACTGGTACCGGCAGTAGGAGCATGGACCATACATGTAATGGTCAAAATTCTCTTTCACTGTCAATGCACTCATGTACATACATGTATATATGTACAAGTACATGTACATGAACGCTGTACTGCATGCAAGTACTTTCCAAAAACTGCATCGGATTAGATGAAATATTTCAGGAGTGCTGTGTTTAATTAATCTGATGAGCCATGACGTGTATACGTGAGTGACAAACACAGTTTGTCAACCGCGCCAACTTTAGCAGTGAAGCGCCAAAGCTCGCTAGCACGCTATTTTCATAACAACATGATTGCACTTTTCAACTTGCAGGAATATGCAAGGTCAGTACTGTTATAGCAGCTTTTTATCTGGTCTGATAACACTGCTGTAACCCATACATTGTGTAAGCATTCCTTCAACAAACAAAGCTGTCATTAAATCAGGATAATTGTACAACAGCTCTCTAAAGGACACATGCCGTGGCAATAACCACCAATCAACCGTGATATCAATTGAACCATGGCAGAATAAGAGATACAAAACCAACTATTTGTACATACATGTACATGTGTGACTACATATTGTATGTTGCGGTACGTACTACATGTACATGTACCTTGCTCAGATTGGGACAGATTAACAGATTGGGACCAAGAGCTGACCTACATGGACCTACATGTACCATACAAGTTGCATTGGAAGTATTCCCCTTGGCATTGTAAATATACTGTACATCAATTCTCATTCTGCACTAATGAAGATTGAGCAATACACTACAATGAGTAATATGAACAGTGGCTCATCACGGGCTTTTGTATTGCCAGCATATGAAGACGTCTTCAGTTCCGTTCCGGACTGTTTTTAATAATGAACTCAAGCTTGTCTGCAGTTTGCATGCAATACAGGCACATGTACATCTAATATCTCTTTTCAAACGAGTTAATCTGGGCTCTTCCGATAATCTTCTGAAATATTTCCTCATGGGGCGGAATGCAGGAAAGGCTGAAATGTCTGAACCACAAGTACATGTGTACATGTGCGTTGTAATGGATTAATATCTTCCTGTGTGTGGGTTGTAAAAAGTGCAATTCCACACGAAAGGGGAAATGTGCCATTCTGTTATCAAGTTCTTAAATTATACATAATCTGAAAAGGAAACAAAAGTTACATGTACTAAATAATTTAGGGACAAAAAAATTAATGTAACACCTTAAAATCGTATTTCCGCTTTCATTTCCGCTCTGAAAAGCTTTTCTCAATCAGCTGAGCTCCAAAAGTGAATGACACATTTTGCAGGGAAGTGCCACACAGTGAGTTCAAGTTACTTTAAAAAGTGATTACGAGCTGCTGACAATGATTTTAGCAATAATTAGGTGACAGAAATCATCAGCTTTTAATCGGCCAATACCTGTACATACATGTACACCAAGGTCACATGACCATTCAGGCAGCCTTGAATGTACTCTTTTTTACTTACCAACTTACATGTACATACTAGTACATTTACCACCTCTGATTTCCACGCACCCACTTCCAGTGATGGGTTATAAAGTTTTCAGGTTTTTATCAGAAGCGATAAAAAAATGGGAAAATTTAAAAACATAGAATTTAAATTATTCCTGGACAGAGTTCAACATGACTTGACACCTGTGTACCAGCAATTATATGATATGCCTTACTGTTAAAAAGAGCACTTCACATTCATGTCAGTTGTAATATTTCTACACAGTTTGACCAAAACACAAATAAGTGTTTTGTAAAATATCCAATATCTGAATTTAACCAGAATTTCATCTAGTGGTGTAGTGAGCTACCAATATTATAAACAATACCTGTATGTACCAGATGGGAGACTACAGGTACTGTATGTACGAGTACATGTATCTTCTCAGCCACATTTACACGTACAGTACATGTATTTGTCCATGAATTTTTCTCTCTTTCAAAGTTAAAGTACCCCGTAGTATACTCCCCATACATGTACATGTATGTAAATTTACGATTTTTTTCACTTCGCAAATTAAAGTTGTGAACATACAGTAGTGTACAAAACTTCAAAGTAAACTTACCTACATGAACAGGAACATGTGCACCAAGGCAGCAAGACAGAAAATCCATGACTACACATCTTGGACACTAAACACAAGCACCCTAGGCTAACCAATCTGCACTCTGCACACCTCAACTCCCGAGTCCTGACAACTGCCAACTGGAGAAACTCCACAAGGACACAAGTTCCAAGATAACAGAACTAATATATTACACCAAAATGGGTACAGGAAGAATGGGCAAAGGTACAATGTACAGTACATACAGGTGTACATGTATATTCCTCAAAATATGCCACTCTGAAAGTTTGGTTCAACAACAAATTGTTTGGTACATCAAAGGCATTGTGGAGTTTTCAGTCATAACATGAACAACTTTGCCCACAATACGACTGTGATGTCTGGTACATGTACAGTACTCTGGTAGGGGAGGGAAGGGCCCTGTACTAATGGCATCATCAATTGTGAAGTAAAAACAAGGAGCTGTTCTGTGTGGAAGCCCAGTAGACTTATTAATGCCCTTGGGGTGAGGTTGACATGACCCCTGAGGTCAACCCTATTCCTCAGAGTTATTTATTGCTTCTAGGAGGTTGGAAACCTGACATGAAGACAGATTTGGGCACAAGTGTCAATCCTAACTGTTAATATGTTAATACTGAAAGGAACAGAAGGAATACAGTGTACGTGTATAATAACACACTGTTATAACAAGATTCTTGAGACTTCATAAATTACCTTGTTATAATAGTTGCCTTGTCAGTAACCAGTAATGGAAAAGAAACATATTATCCATGGCAGTCTGCAATTTGCGAGGAACAAAATGATAACATTTGCTAATACTTTGGGGGGAATCAAAATTTAGGTGCATGTCATCCTCAGGCGGAAGACTGTTCCGTAGGAGGACTGTTGTCTGGCATTTCTCCATACCCTTTCAACTCTAGACCTCTTGTCTCTGGCAAATAAGGAGTGCCTTGGGCAACATGAAATGTCTCGGCTGTGTAAATCAGACCTTTCAGAGTTCAGACAACTTCAATGCCAAGTATGTACAGTGTCAAACAACTAAAGGAAAGTTTTCGGTGACATTCTTCAGAACTGCCCATTTGTTAAAGGTGCGGTGCTGTACAACTAAGCAGTGTATCATTTCATGCAGTGCTTACACGGTGTACAATGTACATGTACACGTGTACCGGCACATGCAGTACAGTACCGCACTGTTCGCTATAACGAACAAGACGGGGTCCACGCTAAATGTTCGGTACAGCGGTCATTCTGTATAGCGAATTTAACTGCCGAAAGTTTCGTTGCCATGTTGAATAGTGCCCTCTCTTGTCTAACCGAAGTGCACCCTCTTGTGATACCTTGGTTTGCTGTTTTCCTGGTGTTTTGCTGTTGCATTCAAGTTTAAGGTTACTAGAAATGTATTTGTTAATTATTTTTGTTTTTTATTTAAACTCGAGTCAAAAAATTGATATCAAGTTTATCCTAAAAGTTGTGAAACTACCGCTCAGGATCGATCTCTGATGCATGCTGTGGCGAATCTCTTTTTAATTTGTGTATCAGCGGCACCCTCTTTAGACTATTGTTAGTGCAATGCTACTGTGCGCGTACGTGCCGTTTTCTTCCGCACCCGATCGTGTGGAGTCGCAAAACCAGTGTCTATTCAATACCATTGACTACTTGTGGCTTCTAATCCTTGGGAAATAATGGCCACTTGTCACTTTTCAACATAAAAAACACCAACTGTTTTATCATATTGACGTTCGGGAATTACAAACGGCAACTGAATAGTGTTCGGTAGGTTCTGTGCACAAATTATTGGGAGCCAAGGACGATGTTCGGTACAGCCGAATGTCCGGTATAGCGGTGTTCGGTATAGCGGCATTCCACTGTAATTGTCAACAAGTTGCAGGTTTCATAAGGCAGACACATGATGTTGTCACATGCCTACATGTACATGTACATGTGCCGTATACACACTTTCAAACAGTAAAAAAAAACCTGTGATTTTCATCAAACTCATTTTAAACACAGTGTGGCTCATTATCTGCCAAGTTGACACACAGACATTTAACAGAAAACAGTATCTGATAAATAAAACGGGTAGGCCCCATTTGTCTGTCAATTGTACCGGTACATGTTTGTATGTAGGCCTACACCTTGCTGTAGAAATATTGCAGCTGCAAATTGTTATTACTAGGAGAAGTTATCTTTTTATGCTGGAATAACTCATTTCCTCTGCAGGCCCTTTGGGTGCCTGATCTCAACTTGGATTTTGGGGGTATACAGTATACATGTTTCGTACACCTTATTGTGGAAATAACCAATTTTCATTCAGCCAAAGGACACCACTCTTACCAATGCCGACTACATGTAAGAAGGCCAAAATTTACTTAAAAAGTATATGTACTTTCTAGTTATGTAGTGAGTGAAATAAATCAGTAGGGCATGGGATGTGCATTTTATTAAAATGTCACGCTCACATTCAAAGTGAACCCAGGCAGCATAATTTCACGTGGCACTAAACCAGGAAGAAAACAAAACAAACATGAAAACTAGTTTTGCACTGTGTACTGGTACATGTACATGCAGTACCACTCAGCTGATTCATGGTAAATTGGGGCTTTTTTCCTACATGTATATTATAACAATTTATGTTACACATGTATGTCGTATGAATTAAATATGCCATATGGGAAATGAATGCAGTTACTAGCCATACATGCACATGTAGGCAGGTATATACATGTAATATCCAGTTGCAGTGCAGCCACAACTTGTGGATGCAACAAATCACAGAATCAATCTCAGGGCTCATACCATTTTGCATGTAACCAACCCATGGCCCTTGACCTTTCAAAAACCGGTGTCCACCCTAAGCAGCATTTTTGAAACACATACCTCC